AGAATGAGGTAAGCACAAGGGTGGAAGATGTAATCATAGGGTTGCACAGTTTGGTGGGTGGAGAGAGGAAGTGGGTTAAGTAAATGGGAAGGATCTGATATGAAAAACAATGCTATGAACTTTGCAAGTAAACCAAGAAAAATAACAACAACAAAAACAAAAATGCACCCTGGTAGCAAAGTGACTATGACATTCGATTACTAATGAAACTTCAGTGGTTTCAACCCAGCAGAATGATTAGACAAAAAAATAAAAAGAGATTTACAGATTTACGATTCTGTTCCCTATGTTCCCCTTAAAAGAATTTTAAAACAATTTCCTTGGACTCGTTTTTTAACATAGCAATCCTTCTCTCTTCTAAGAGTAATGAAAAACTTCTATATCAAAATAATTCTGAAGCAAAGACTCTCCAATTTCAATGAAACATGTGTTATTTAGTGAAGCAGCATTTCAATTGAATTATCCAAACTTCCCAATGAATTATGATTCTTATAACACTCACTCAATTCATGAGAATATTGGAGCCCTGCTGACACAATGGGATAAGAGTTAAGCTGCTAAATGAAGGTTTCCAGATCAAATCCTCTTTGAACCCACTAGTTGCACTGCTGGAGAAAAATGTGGCAGCTTGCTTCCGTATAGATTTCTAGCCCTGATACATCTGTATGGCAGTTCTATTCTGTCCTGGAAGGTCATTATGAATTGGAATAGACTTGATGGCAATGTGTTTGAGTTTGCTGATACGTAAGAAGATTAAGAATTAAGGTTGTTGGCTAAATTGAGAATGACAATAATAATCCCCTATAGCACAGAAACAGAAGAAAAGAGAACTTAAGATAATTGCTCTTTTCCTAAAGCAATTTCAAGTCAATTCAAGTGACAACTAATATTAAAAAATGAGTCGTTTTAGAAAGGAACAAACCTAAGAACATCTTTGATTTTTAAAAAATATTTAAAGAAAGAAAATAATAGCAATCAGATGTATAAATACTCTTCCAGAGGAAACATTTCCCACCTCATCTAATAGGAACACAATCTTGACAATAAATGATAACAGAGACAGTCTAAGAATTAAAAACTAAAGGGAAATATCACTCATGAGTATGAATTTGAAAAGATTTAAACAGAATATTAGTAATCACTTATTAATCAATTACAATCTTAGCTGACTAAAAATTAAAAAGGAATAAATATAATAAAAACTGAGTAAGCCCACTACAAAGAAAAGTAAGTTTACTGAAATTAATTTAAAAACTAAAACCAAACCCACTGCTATGAAGTTGATTATAACCCAGAGCAATCTGTGGAAATAGGCAGAGTTGCCTATGGGTTTCCATGTTCATACTAAAAGATTCAGTATTACAAATAGATTGTTGTTGTCATGTGCCATCGAGTCACTTGCGACTCATAGCGATCCTATGTACAACAGCTCTAAACTCTGCTCTGTCCTGTGCCAACCTCACTGTCTTCGACACACTCATCCTGGCTGCCCCAGTCACCGAATCAATCCACCTCCCAGAGGGCCTTCCTCTCCCATGCCTGCCCTCCACCCTCCCAAGCATGATGTCCATCTCCAAGGACCGGTCCCTCCTTATATGACCAAAGTATGTCAGACGAAGTTTCAGAATCCTTGCCTCCAAGGAGCAGCCCAGTTTAACCCTCGCCAAGACGAATCTGTTTGTTTTCTTAGCAGTCCATGGTACTCTCAGCACTTTTCTCCAACACCAAAGCTCAAAAGCATCAATTCTCCTTCTATCCTCCCTGGTCATTGTCCAGCTCTCTGATGCATAACAAGTGACTGAAAAGACCATGGCCTGTACCAGATGCACCTTTGTCTCCAGAGACACACCGTTGCTCTTGAGTACTTTAGAGAGGTCCCTAACAGCAGACTTTCGAATCGCAATACGTCTTTTAATTTCCTGGCTGCTGGTGCCAAAGGTGTTGATTGTGGAGCCAAGCTGACTAAAGCTGTGAGCAATCTCAATCTCTTCACCATGCATCCAGATGCTGCCAATTGGCCCAGCCGACTTTC